GAGGTAAGGTCAGATGAACTCTGCTACAAAATCATGTATACCTTGTTACCATTCCATACACCAAATATATTTAACCCACTACTATCTGAGACTGTACGGACGACCGTGAAATTAGGTCGAGGTCAGGTGAATCATGTCTGACGGTCATGACTTGACCACTGAAACTTAACCTTGTTCTGATCCGTGAAATTATTTCGATGTCAGGTGAATCATGTCTGATGGTCATGTAGACCTTGCAAGGATACCATATATTAGTAACCAAATATAGTTATCATAGAACTCATGATAATTGAGACCTTCACATGACGAAAAAAGCTATACAGTTTTTGAGCAGTCACTTAACCATGAATATGAGGTCAAGGATATGACGGAAACTTCGTAACACAATGGATCTATATACAAAGTATGAATCATCCAGTTCCTCTGCCCTCTGAAATATAAAGCTATACAAACAGTTTACGGTGTTGCCACCACCATTATCAGATTGTATTCTGTATTCCTCGCATTCTGCTACTTGCGTCGAATGCGATTTAAAAGAAAAAGAACATCTGAAATTAGCTCTCTTACCTAAAGCTAGTCGGTGGGCTTTCAACTTAACAGTAGACAATGAAACGTAATAGCTACTACTAGCTCGGCAATTTTTCTATGTTGTTTCGCTCTTATTAAAATTCTGATCTTTATTAACTAGCATGCTCTTATATATAAGCTCAAATGAGGATAACGAAATCAGAGATCTATATTTTAATTAGATTGATGTTGTTTACAAGTGTTTGTAAAATACATCGATGCTGTACAAAACTTTCTTTTTGTAGATAATCTTTAACTTCATGTCAATTGTAGGCCAATTTATGTTCGATAAGTCATTTACATTACACTTGATATAAGTGTGTACGATGGAGTGATGAGCCTGCTGTTTCTAATTCTCATTTTGTTTTCATAACTTGTAACAGAAACCCTCCCCCTTTTTCACCGTTTGCAGTTTTTTTTTTTTTTATTTCTGTAAAGGAAATATATACTCAGACCTGCTAATTCAATCAATTCTGCGTTAATATTCATCAGTTTTGGAACTAAGTACTATTTGATGTGCTTCCACGTTCATCAAAAGAGAATTGGATATTTACCCAGAAAATCATGACGAACACCTTCTATCAAAAGACGAAAAAAATAACATTTTGGGAGGGTAACTTATAAATGTTAATATCTAAAAAACGTCTCTAAAGATCACTTATATCGAATCTTATGTAAAAATTCCGATTTTGGAACTTTTAAAAGGTCAAGGTCACTGTTATTTAACAGCTCAATGAAAATTGTAAATGTGCACCTTTAAGTACAAATGTCAATCTCGAACCATATTTGGCAATAAAATTATCAAATTATTCCTAAATATAGAAACTATAGTTATAATCCTTTGAATAATTTGAATTTATTTTGTTATAAACGCAAATATGTAGGGGTGGCCAGCTGTCTAAACGTGACTCTACGTTTTCCTTGAAATTTTAGATTTGACCTTTGACCCAAATTTAAGAAAATCGTGACCACTGTAGACAACGACGACATCAATTTTTCGACGAGGCTTGTCACCTCTTTCCAATGATATAAAATATAGCCGTGTGTTATTCCGTTAACCCAAATCGATTAAATTTGTTGACTGGGCACCCTACTAGATCCCCACCGATAAATAGTTTAGTTTCTTGTTTGACATGTCACGCAAATTGAAAAATATAAAGAGTCAATCCCTAGGGGTCACCTGAATCCTGCCATTTTATAATGTTAAAATAGCTGAGAAAGGATAAAGCACATGTATGGTGTGTTTGTTTTGATTGGAACGCTGTTACACTATTTATACTTACTCCATCAGGTGATCAACAATTCAAAAAATTAAAATTAACATAGAGACCTAATGGGAAATATTTTTGATTATATACCAAAAATTATGAAATTGATAGTCAGAGTTTGTATATATATAATAACATACATCAAGGAAAAAATATTGATTTGAAAAAATGGATTTTTAAGAATTTTTTTCTGCAAATATATAGAAGTTAAATGGACAAGATATATTTACTGGGGCTTCGTTTTGGAGAATTTGTAAAGCATACTGTTACACTAATTTCTTGCTTACGTCCTGTTGAGTGGTGAGTGTTACAACTTTTTATTTGTGTAATTGTATAATATAATATAATTTCACTAAACCATTTTATGATTTAGAGTCATAAGTAAATTTGATGCAGTACGTACGACGTTTTGACGACTTGGTAAAACAGCAAGTAGATATGAAAAAGCTTCGAATAATATATGCTGTGTGTAAGTGGATTTTCGAAATACAATGTGGTGTATCAAATTGACTTTTGTATATTTTTGATTCTACAGTACTTAACATACATTTACGCGGGGACATAAGTGTATGTGCTGTACATTTGATTTCTTATAATAGTTCGCATCTTATTATTGTTAACCTGTGGAATGTTTACCGTTGAAAAATACTGTTTAAACTTCAAAAGAAGTGAAGGCCGATATTTGACGATAATCGTTCATATGATAGCGGCGATGACGTTTCAGAGATATATATTGTGCATAATTACTACTAGTATATCCTATAAATCAATGGTTGCAGTCACAGACATTTTCCGGACACCTCATTTGAATTCAAAGCCATTTATTGTGTGTCCTTAAATAATTCATGCTTTACAGAGAAGGTTCGAATACAAATAAATAGTTTTTGATTTCAGCGAAATGAACAAACTTAGCAACCAAGGCTATTAGACAATCGTGACCGGTTTTAAGTTCAAATTGAAAAATAAAGATAAACAATAAGTAACAATCATACCAAAAAGTAAGCTATAAAAAGTCGTGGTATGATCAATTGTAAACGATTACAACAGAGAAAATCAACGACATGGTTCATATTTCAACAAGAAAGAAAACAAAAGATAACAGACAGCAATGCATCCCGGGAAAACGTGACTGAAAATGTAAAATTGCAAGGATTCAGGTCGAAAACGAAGATAAGTAATTATTTTTCCCGGAACCACATTGAAACGAAATTCGCAACCGATGTAAAATAAGTCGCCGAGGTGGATGTTCCAAATTGTATAGAAAACGCACTTAATTTACCTAGGTTTAAAAAAAACAAAATGTTTGAACGAAAACGAAACGTGAATTATCGTCTTTGAGTTCTTAAAAGAGCATTAGCTGTCAAATTCTTGATAACAGATTTTACTCAAATTTTCTTATACTAAAACGTATATTCAAATTGTAAAAAGTCTGAAATAAACAATTTACGATGCATGGACTCGATCATATGTATAAGGATTTTGTGTGTCTTTTAGTCTTGACGCCACTTAGTTAACCATCGATGTGTCCTCCGAAGACTGCCGATGGTCATATAACCCGATATAAACATAAATATAAATATAAATAGATAGCGAACACGTGCAATTGGATTTTTCTAGGTCTATTTGATTTCATCTTATAGGTTAAAAATATGTTAGTTATCGTTTTTACCTGTATAAGAATGAGTTTTTGTGGATCGAATCAGTCAAACAAATGGTTTACCCTTGTCTCAATTTCAGTGTTGACATTCTTTGCCTTTTAATAGCTGAACAAGCCTAGTTAATGCTTAACCCATCTCTATCTAAAGGGTTAAATTAAAGGTCACATGAAGACGAATTCAATAGGGTCGAATTATTCAATTGCAAGCTATGTTTCTTAGTTTATTTTGACAAAATTGAACCAAAACTGGCTGCTAAAAGCGAATTATTACTTCAATTTTTTACTTTCATGAATGGTTGAACAAGAAAAATATCATATTTGTTTATGTCTCGTAGCTAATGCCCCTTTAAAGACTTCTGAAATAATAATTACAATTTGTTTTTAATGTTGTTGACTTTTAAACAGTGCATGACTATCTATAAAGTTTACGACCTCTGACTGTTAAATATCGATAATTATGCTGATACTATATACAAAAAATCTTTAAGGAATAAATTAAAGCATTTCTTAAGAAAAAATATTCAAGAGGTAAAGGAATAAATACATAGACCGTTCAGGTTTCTGTGTTTTATTCATAATTACAAAAATCACAATTTGAATTTAATGGAGATCAACTTCGTCAATGATATTTCATTTGTATTAGGGTGAACTAATTGCTAATGCTAATGACAATTACATGTTTGTTGTGACAATAAAGTGTTCATCGTCCTGCCTAAGAACATCAATAAAACCTTGTTTGTTTATGCTGTGCATGTACTGATTTTGTGTCACGGATGCATGTCAACGTATATTTGTTCCACCTAACAGAAGTTCCCCTGGAAACTTTGTTATAAACAATGTCATAATATTTGTTCCTGTTGGAATAAATATTCTATACCCTTTATTCCGTAAAGAACAAATACTGTAATATTTGTTCCAATGGAAACAATATAACAGAATATTTCTTCCACTTGGAACTTATATTATCCTTTGTTTTTCATTATACACGTATGTTAAATTGTGAAATACATATTTACTGAAGGGACCTAATTGGTAACTGTTTTATCTTTCGATAAAAGATTCTGACAACAGTTTTCATAGTTCATATATCAAAGTGTGATACAATTTTTTGAATATAAAGTCAGCCAGCATTTGTTATATTCAGATTTTTGTAATGCATTTCTGGAGTCTTATAACACCCAAAGGGATTAATCGATCACTGTTTTATTGCAAATTTCTTCAAAATGTCATCTAAATAGAATTGAAAATAATATTAATAAGTCTAATTTGAAAATAGATATTAATTGACATTTTGCAGGCTAAATTACCTTTCAGATATAATTATATTAATTGGTGTTGTGTTAACATATAATCAGATGAAGGAACTCTGTCAAATGATACTTTATTGATTCATTCTAATTCAGATAATAAATTATTTAAACGTTCTACTACTGCATTGTTTTAAACATATAATTTGAAAACGGATGTTTTTCCATGTTTTGAAACAATTACCTTTTTTACATTGATTACATAGTACTCAAACGAACTAGTAATTGTTGTTGTTTTAATTTCTCTCAGAAACCTTTGCTTCAGGGAGATTTAAATGATGCGAAATATCATGGTGGCTTCAAATCAAACAATATCAATGACCAATTGTCTTACAGTAACAGAGAAAATAAGAAGTAGAGAACCAATTTTATATGAAACAGAAATATCAGTGTTAATGCTGATCTCTGTGGTTATTAATTTAAAGTGGACTTCTGTATGTATCATCTTCGACAAAGAAACAGGTATGTTTTTTAATAATGAATTTCTTTTTATTTGTATATGAATATATTGGTAAGTTTTATACATTTTATGCATGATATCATAAATAGACAAAAGATTTACAATAGTTTAATAGACAACCATCAATTAATCAATTTAAGAAGGTAATATTAAATAAACAAAGCTAAACATAGTTTGATACATAGCAGAATATGATTGCAAGAAAAAGGCTGTTTGAAGAAATAGTACATATGTTTAATTTATACAACATATGGTCTGTTGTTTATCTTTTTTATTACCAAATAAAGTTTTTATATATTTATGAAATCGTGCAAAATTGTAAAGTTTCGTAAATTATGAACACTATTGGTTTGCTTACATGAATTGCGAAATGTGTGAATAAAAGAGACTTTTAATTGACGCTTCTTATAAGCTAGTCTAGAGTGAATGATGATTAATTGATTGATTGTTGGTTGCTTAACGTCCAGTGGCAAATATTTCATTCATATTCAGGACGAGAACAAATTAACAATAAATACAATAGGTAGGTTCTGTAATAGAGGCGTCCGGGATTAAGGTCGGAGAAATTTAGACTACCACGGGAAATGAGGGTCTATTGGATAGGGAAAGAAATTTAGCCTTGCAACAGGTCACCTACGGACCCCCCAAAGAGTTGTTTCAAAGGTTCTTAAAGTGCAAAGAGCGTGGCTCTCTCTTTACACGAGGCATCGGATTTAACGTCCCAATTCTGACCGGACGTGGCTGCAAATTTGTACGTCCCACACATCCAAACGGACGCCCCACTTTGGCGAGGGTTTTACCGCCGGTCGGAAGAAGACCAATGGTGACCATACTTCTATTCCCCATTCACCCTTTGGGGGGAGGGAATGATGAGACAAACATAAATGTTCTAAATAACCATTCGTAATAAAATAAAAGAAAGAAAAAGTATAGAAACAACAGGGCTTTGAAAACACATAGTTAAAGTTATTTCAAAAACTGCCAGAAAAAAATCTATCGTTAATCCTAACAAAAGGGGGTAAAATAGTTGTCATTTTTATATCTTTAAAATGACAAACTTTTATGGAAGTTGACTTCCTGAAATTAATAAAATCTTAATAAACCTTAACTTGCAAGCATACGAAAACATATCATATGAACACGATTCAGATTTTTTCTACAAAACCTTTTACAGTATGTTTAACAGTATGTTTTGTGAGTAATTAAAAATGGTATCGTCTAAATAATAACAGCAGTTAAGTTTATAGGGAACACCATTTAGAAACGATTACCGTTGCGATAAAATAAGATGTCGACAAATATCACACAACAGATTAGTTTCCTTCCCCAAAGCTACAAAATCCCTTTCAATAATAAAAAAATCAAATTTCAATGTTCAATGGACAATCTGTCATTATTTAAGGATCATATGTTTTGCTATACTCTTGACGTCGATGGTTATCTGTAGCAAAATCCCTAGCATAGATGTCATAACACGTAGAGATTGCCATATATGTCATTACGGGTTAAAACCCGACCGTCATCTTCTCAAGGCGTGACAGAAGAAGAGGAAGTTACCATTATTAAAAGTGATATGACTTAACACTAAATTTTTAAAATATTACTTCACTCTCCAAACTTTGAAACAGGATTATTAACTTCTTTATTCTAACTGAAACAACGATAGAACTATCTTTTCCTATTACCAACAATTATGTTCTTTTTGATATTCACTGACACTAGGTCAAAGGACCGATAAAATTCTTCAAACCCAAACTACAACAGAAATCTCATTTCAAATCTGTTGATAATTTTTGAGTTTAAAAAAAAACTAAGCTTTCAACACCCTTAGGTAAAGTTAACCTCAAATGGATTTGGCTAATTTTGTAGGTCCTTTTTTTGTCATACAGATCTCTAACTGTTTATGTTCCTATACAGCCTTGGTTTTTAATATATTTGGCTTTGGGCGTTCCTGATGAAGTTTAATCCTCGGACGCATGTAATTTATAACCTGTTGTTTTCATTTTTTTCAAATTCGCAATCATTTCAACTTTGTAAAAACAGCAGTTTTATATAGGAGAATTCTCACTGCAGAACAAACTTCTTCTGCACATAGAATGTCGCAAAACTAGATAAAATAATCCCTCAAGACAGATAAAAAAAATATTACACCTTTCCCAAGGCAAAAAATCGAAAATTGAACTTCAACTCTACATACAATATATTAAAAGATACAACCTATTAATGACAACACTTGTAAAGTCACTCACAACTTAAATAGGCAAAGCATTGTCTCCGGCATTAAAAAAAGTATTGCAAACAACCAATCAAACGTAAAAGTACTGTTCGACCTCTGTAATCAAAGATATTTGCTATCTCTCTTATGCTTTATAAAAATCAACTCCATCATTCTTACAATCAAATCTCCACATAAGCAAAAACTACTACAACTTGCTTCAACATGGGTCAATACTGAAATTTAAAAACCATTAATTAAAAGATAAGCTTTATGCTGATTATCAAAGACCAAATCTATGGCCACACTGTACATTTAGCTAAAAAACTTGTCATCTATGACCATTACAGTTTTCTTTTACATGCACAGGGTATGGTTTTCCCCTGCCCGTGATATCCCTGGTATAAAGTCCTCATACGACAAATGTTTCTTCTGTGTGTAAATCAAATAATACAAAAGACAAACAACATGACCAATATGAATGCAGAGTGTCTCTGGTTTATTTATGGTCAATAAAGTGTATAAGATTGAAATGTTATGTCATTAAAGGTGTACATTTTGTACTTGTCGAGTTTCTCATATTCAAATTATATTTTTATACTTGTGTATTCTAAATGGTCAACAAAGTTTTTTGGCAGTTGATAAAATTATAATTTTGATTTATGTCAGTTAGCAGAAGCAACGGGTTATTTATAATTGTAAACATGTAATAGTTGCGTTATCAACAAGATTGTTCAATTTAATAAAATATAAATGCTCCGCTAGTTATTACCACTACTGTAATATACATAGAAGCTAGACATTAATCGAGGTGTATGTCCTTGTAATTGATGCACCAACACTTTGTTTTTATACTTTTTTGTAATTGATATCATGTTACAAAATGCATATATGCGTATAAGTACATCATGTAGTTTTTTTTTTTATTCTAATGATGTAATCATAACTTTTATTCGTGTTGTTTATCTATTTTTCTGTGTGTTGCTGTTTTGTTTGAGAGGTAGGGAAAAAAGTTTATAACTATAACGCCGCGTTACCCTTCTAATACTAGCAAATTACAGTATATATATATTCGAATGAAATTCGTTATCAGCATGACTAAGTATTACCTAAAGGGTTCGTTGAATCATTTGAAGTTATTAGAAGATTGTCAATCAGGTTATGCAGCAGCAGTTTGTAATTGTGAAATGTCTGACTCGAAGAAAGTTTTCGATTCTGATCATGCATCTCTGGCTGGTCTTAATGTGCATACGTTGCCTCATGTTAAATCCACACATCATACTAGTAATGACGACTTAGTGGATACTTTTTTACTGTTAAAAGCTAGATTGATTGATTGGAAGATTGCTACTCTTCAAAAAAGACTTGGCATTGATAATGAAATCTTTGCAGACGAACTTAAGCAAGACGTTTCAGTCAAACTTAAAGTAGGAGGAAACCAAATACAGTTAAATTTCAAATTTTATATCATGGCTGACCTTGTTAACCTTTGTGATAAAGATATATTATGTGTTAAATTGGTATATGGTGCTATACTCAAAATCAAGAAGCACAATAAGCTTATCCTCATTGCAGACAAATGTCATCTACTGTAGGCTAGAAAACCGTCCTTGAATATGAGTGACGACCTTGCTTCAGATTCTGAAGAGGAGACACCTATCCGTTCTGGTAAAAATTCTCACCCATATAAAACCCCTTTAGCTACTGTGTCTGCTCCTTCAGCTTCAGTTTCAACTAAGCAACATCGTGAACGACAAAACAATTATCAACAGTCGCCCTTTAGGACCAGCAGACGGAGGGAACCCACAGCTCATGACATCTGTTACAACTGCAACCATCTTGGCCACTGGCGAAGTCAGTGCCCCCTTTTCAGCGCAAAACCAGTTGTCCCAGGGACATCAGAAAAGAGTTAATGATATGTATTTTTATACTCTAGATGAAACTAATCTTTACGGAAAGTTTGAACTGTTTCTGTCACATGTAAAATAAAATATTTTGATGATATTTAGATATTTCATCTGTTGCAAAAGGTGTAAAATAGAGCTTACGCAAACACATACAATTCTGGGATCATGAGGGTGCAAATGATTTTGTTATTCAATCTATCAAATATGGTTACGTTATTTCTAAAAACTCCTACAACTATGTCTTTAAAAATAAAACAAATCTGCAAATTTACTTTCAAAATTTGTAGATAAAGCTATTTCAGAATTACTGAATTTTGGATATGTTATTGAAACTCCATTTCAGCCGTTCGTTGTCAATTCAGTAAGTATTTCTATACAAAGTTTGGTTATTTCAATGTGTCCAGTCATGGGTAACATGACATGTGAATTGACCCGGTGTTTACATCAAGCAAATGAAAACAGAGTAAAGTGTGATTTGAAGACAACTTTAGAATGTCCCGATTGTGTATTTAACGAACTTAGATTTGGCTGAATAACGTATAGAGGCTAAACAGAAAATATTTTGCGCATTATTCTTTTCCTAACGTGCTTGAATATTCTGATGCTAGTAACGTAGCTGCTGGAGCTTATTTGATAGATATCGACTCTATTATTTTTCATCAGATGTGGACTTTACAAAAGTCGTTAAAGAGTTATACGTAGAGAGAACTTCAAGCTATTTTTGACGTTGATGTCTTTTAAGAGCAGTTTGAGATATGAATATGACAAATGACATACAGGTATTAATAACTGCGTTACCACTGATCAGAAAAGAACTACATAAGTACATTAACAAGAGATAGCTATTGATATTTTTAAGTTGTGTTCTGAATTGAATATT